GACTCCTATAGATGGAAGTGTTCCTAAGGTTAAATAGCTCTCACCAGAGGTGATAAAAAGGGACAAAGAGTACAGAACATGATACCTAATATATAAAGAATGGAGGAGGAATAAAAGGAGGGAAAAAAGAAAAAAGAACCTTTAGATTGTGTTTGTAACAACATACTAAGTGAGTTAAGTTGGACTCTTAGATAATAAAGAAGTTACCCTTGAACCTTTGGTAACCATGAATCTAAAGCCTGCAATGGCAGTAAGTATATACTATCAATAATCACCCTAAATGTAAATGGTCTGAATACACCAATCAAAAGACACAGAGTAATAGAATGGATAAAAAACAAGACCCAACTATATGCTGCCTACAATAGACTCACATTGAACCCAAAGACATACACAGACTAAAAGTGAAGGAATGGAAAAAGATATTTCATGAAATTGATAGGGAGAAAAGAGCAGGAGTTGCAGGACTTGTATCAGACAAAATAGACTTCAAAACAAAGAAAGTCACAAGAGACAAAGAAGAACATTACATTATGATAAAGGGTCAATCCAACAAGAGAATATAACCATTATAAATATCTGTGTACCCAACACAGGAGCACCTACATATGTGAAACAAATATTAACAGAATTAAAAGGGGAAATAGAATGTAATGCATTCATTCTAGGAGAGTTCGATGCTCTATCACTCCAAAGGACAGGTCCACCAGAGACAAAATAAGTAAGGAGACCGAGGCATTGAACAACACATTAGAAAAGATGGACCTAACATACATCTACAGAATTCTCCACCTAAAAGCAGCAGGATACACATTCTCTTCAAGTGCACATGGAACATTTTCCAGAATAGACCACATACTAGGCCACAAAAAGAGCCTCAGTAAATTCAAAAAGATTGAAATTCTACCAACCAACTTCTCAGATCACAAGGGTATAAAACTAGAAATAAATAGTACAAAGAAAACAAAAAGGCTCACAAACACATGGAGGCTTAACAACATGCTCCTAAGTAATCAATGGAACAATGGCCAAATTAAAACAGAGATCAAGCAATATATGGAGACAAATGACAACAACAGCACAATGCCCCAACTTCTGTGGAATGCAGTGAAAGCAGTTCTAAGAGGGAAACATACAGCAATCCAGGCCTATTTAAAGAAGGAAGAACAATCCCAAATGAATAGTCTAATGTCACAATTATCGAAATTGGAAAAAGAAGAACAAATGAGGCCTAAGGTCAGCAGACAGAGGGACATAATAAAGATCAGAGAAGAAATAAATAAAATTGAGAAGAATAAAACAATAGAAAAAGTTACTGAAAAGAAGAGAAGTTCTTTGAGAAAATAAACAAAATAGATAAACCCCTAGCCAGACTTATTAAGAAAAAAAAGAGAGTCTACACACATAAACAGAATCAGAAATGAGAAACGAAAAGTCACTATGGACCTCACAGAAATACAAAGAATTATGAGAGAATACTATGAAAATCTATATGCTAACAAACTGGATAACCTAGAAGAAATGGACAACTTTCTAGAAAAATATAACCTTCCAAGACTGAGCAAGGAAGAAACAGAAAATCTAAACAGACCAATTACCAGCAATGAAATTGAATGGGTAATCAAAAAACTACCCAAGAACAAAACTCCCAGACCAGAAGGATTCACCGCAGAAATTTATCAGACATAAAGAGAAGACATAATACCCATTTTCCTTAAAGTTTTCCAAAAAATAGAAGAGGAGGGAATACTTCTAACCTCATTCCATGAAGCCAGCATAACTCTAATACCAAAACCAGGCAAAGACACCACAAGAAAAGAAAACTATAGACCAACATCCCTGATGAACATAGATGCAAAAATTCCAAACAAAACATTAGCAAACTGAATTAAAAAACACATCAAGAGGATCACACACCATGATCAAGTGGGATTCATCTCAGGGATGCAAGGATGGTACAACATTCGAAAATACATCAACATCATCCACAACATCAACAAAAAGAAGGACAAAAACCACATGATCATTTCCATAGAACCTGAAAAAGCATTTGACAAAATTCAACATCCATTCATGATAAAAACTCTCAACAAAATGGGTTTGGAGGGCAAGTACCTCAACATAATAAAGGCCATACATGCAAACTCACAGCCAACATCAGACTTAAGAGTGAGAAGCTGAAAGCTTTCTCCGTAAGATCAGGAATAAGACAGGGATGCCCCACTCTCCCTGCTTTTATTCAGCATAGTACTAGATATTCTAGCCATGGCAATCAGACAACACAAAGAAATAAAAGGCATCCAGATTGGTAAGGAAGAAGTCAACCTGTCACTGTTTGCAGATGACATGATATTGTACATAAAAAACCCTAAAGACTCCACTCCAAAACTACTAGAACTAATTTTGGAATTCAGCAAAGTTGCAGGATAAAAAATTAATACACAGAAATCTGTTGCATTCCTATACACTAATGATGAACTAGCAGAAAGAGAAAGAAAGAAAACAATTCCATTCACAATTGCATCAAAAAGAATAAAATACCTAGGAATAAACCTAACCAAGGAAGTGAAAGACCCATACCATGAAAACTACAAGACACTCTTAAGAGAAATTGAGGAGGATACTAACAAATGGAAACTCATCCCATGCTCTTGGCTAGGAAGAATTAATATTGTCAAAACAGCCATCCTGCCTAAAACAATCTACAGATTCAATGCAATCCCTATCAAAATACCAACAGCATTCTTCAATGAACTGGAACAGATAGTTCTAAAATTCATATGGAACCACCAAAGACCCCGAATAGCCAAAGCAATCCTGAGAAGGAAGAATAAAGTGGGGGGAATCTCGCTCCCCAACTTCAAGCTCTACTACAAAGCCACAGTAATCAAGACAATTTGGTACTGGCATAAGAACAGAGCCACAGACCAGTGGAACAGAATAGAGACTCCAAACATTAACCCAAGCATATATGGTCAATTAATATACAATAAAGGAGCCATGGATATACAATGGGGAAATGACAGCCTCTTCAACAGCTGGTGTTGGCAAAACTGGACAGCTACAACATGTAAGAGAATGAAACTGGATTACTGTCTAACTCCATACACAAAAGTAAACTCGGAATGGATCAAAGACCTGAATGTAAGTAATGAAACCATAAAAGTCTTAGAAGAAAATATAGTCAAAACTCACTTGAATATAGACATGAGCAACTTCTTCATGAACATATCTTCCCTGGGCAAGGGAAACAAAAGCAAAAATGAACAAGTGAGACTATATCAAACTGAAAAGCTTCTGTACAGCAAAGGACACCATCAATAGAACAAAAAGGCATCATACAGAATGGTAGAATATATGCATAAATGACACATCCGATAAGGGTTGACATCCAAAATATACAAAGAGCTCACGCACCTCAACAAACAAAAAGCAAATAACCCAATTAAAAAATGGGTGGAGGAGCTGAACAGACACTTCTCTAAAGAAGAAATTCAGATGGCCAACAGGCACATGAAAAGATGCTCCACATCACTAATCATCAGAGAAATGCAAATTAAAACCACAATGATATATCAGCTTACACCAGTTAGGATGGCCACCATCCATAAGACAAACAGCAACAAATGCTGGCAAGGATGTGGAGAAAGGGGAACACTCCTGCACTGCTGGTGGGGATGTAAATTACTTCAACCATTGTGGAAAGCAGTATGGAGGTTCCTCAAAATGCTCAAAATAAAAATACCATTTGACTCAGGAATTCCACTCCTAGGAATTTCCCCTAGGAATGCAGCAGCCCAGTTTTAAAAAGACAGATGCACCACTATGTTTATTGCAGCACTATCTACAATAGCTAAGAAATGGAAGCAACCTAAGTGTCCATTAGTAGGTGAATGGATAAAGATGTGGTATATATACACAATGGAATATTATTCAGCCATAAGAAGAAAACAAATCCTACCATTTGCAACAACATGAATGGAGCTAGAGGGTATTCTTCTCAGTGAAATAAGCTGGGCAGAGAAGGACAAGTATCAAATGATTTCACTCATCTGTGGAGTATAAGAACAAAGCAAAAACTGAAAGAACAAAACAGCAGCAGACTCACAGAACCGAAGAATGGACTAACAATTACCAAACGGAAAGGGTCTGGGGAGGATCAGTGGGAAAGGAGGGCTAAGGGGGAAAAGGGGCATTATGATTAGCACTCATAATGTAGGTGGGGAGCACCAGGATGGCAGGATATCACAGAGAAGACAAGTAGTGATTCTATAGCATCTTACTACACTGATGGACAGTGACTGTAATAAGGTATGTGGTGGGGACTTGATAATGGAGGGAATCTAGTAACCACAATGTTGTTCATGTAAGTGTATATTAATGATACCAAAAGAATAAATAAAATAAAATATAAAAAAAGAAATAGGAGGCAGATGTCATTGGGTGCTTCCTACCATTAAAAAAATTTTTTTAAGGGCTTATTATATGCTAGGGAGTGGGAATACATTGGTGAACAAACAAATAATGCTGAACTTACTGAGCTGGCAAATGATTCAAATAGCCAAAATAAATTTAAAATCATAACCTTCGGCAGGGTTAATGCCAGAAATCGTAAGATAATAGGATGTAAACATTATAGATAAGTATTCGCTCACATGCTTAATGCGTTCCTGGGAAGATTTCCCCAAATCGCGATTTCTAGTTCTACAGATCTGCTTGTTCTTATTTTTCAATAGACTTTTTGAAATAGTTTTAGGTTCTCAGCAAAATTGAGGCAGAAAGTACAGAGTACTCATATACCTGCTGCTCCTCCCTCAATCAACAGTTTGCTCTTTTTAAAAAAATTACTATTATTTTCATAGTGGGAGAGAATACCTAAAACACAAAAGGACCCTAGTTTGTTAAACTAAGGTTCAGTGAGGCGTCAAGAAATAACAGCCAAAAAACTACATTTCCCAGGGGGGACCGCGGCACGTCACAGAAGCGGGAAGGCGCATGCGTAGGGGGAAATCTCCGCGACTAAGCTCATAAAAAGGAAAAAGCGCTTGTGGTTCTCGACGTCCCGCGAATGTTCTAATGCAAGTTCGTTATTATCCTCAGACTTTGAAAAAGCACAGGAAGAACGCGCCTGCCCCTGCCGTCACAATTTCCAACGCTTGTTCCGCCCGTGGCTCTGTAGGTGAGGAAAAGTCGTAATTTAGGATCCTGGGGAATGGCGGGAGCGAAGGGATGGGGCCCCCATTCGACGTCCCCACTGCCGGCCTAGCCGAGGCCGCGCTCCCGAGGCGGCGCTCAGGCTCCCTGGGCGGGGAGAGGCAGAGCTGGGAGGAAGGACCAGTTTGCTGGCTTAGCATCTTGCGCATGCGCCGGGCACTCCAAGGCTGGGAAGCCGGGAGTGGGGAAGATGGGCGCAGAGGTGGGCTGGGAAGCCCAAGTACGAGAGGACTGAAGGTATCCACCCCCCGACGTCCGACGGTTTTTATTATATGTACAAGATGCGTCCATCTTAACAAAACAGCTTCGTTTGCAGCCAGCGCTTCAGGTTGTACTCACTAGAGCCTTTTCTCCAAGTCTGTGAACCCGCCCCAGTCAGGCCTTGTTCCCTACCGCTCCACTGAAATGGATCCTTGTCAAAGCCACCAATAATTCTAAGTCGCCAAATTCAGTGTTAAGTTAGTTCTCAGTTCCGTATTTGATGCAGTTGACCACTGCACCTTCTTAACACGCGTTCATTCGGCTTGTGGAACATCTCATCCTTAGATTCCGCCGTCTCTGCTTCTTTCTGATTCTTGTCCCTCCTGCTTATTTTGAATGGTTGTACTGCCGAAAAACCTCATCCTAGGTCATCCTAAACTCTCCCTAGGAGTTTATTAATTTCAAAGCTTTAAATATAAATGCCGTTTATTGTGCTAATCCTCAAATTTCCATGTGCAACCCAGTGCTCCACCTTGAACCCCAGGTTCTTATATTGAACTCTTGAAGGGCTTAAATGTATAGTTTGCACCTCAAACATGTCCAGAACTTAACATAACCTTCACCTCCCCCACTGTTCTGTGCTTCTAGTTGCTCAGGCCAAACACCTCGAGTTATTCGTGGTGTCTTCACCCCCGCCCGGACCCCCTCCTCCCGCATTCCCCCACCCCAATCAATCTATAACCGTATGTTTATTCTTGAGGCTTTGGGGTTTCACTGCTAGTTGTCTAATTGTGGGTATTCGCTTTGGCACTTGGTCCTCTCTGCCTGAGAATTTGTGTTTTCAGTTCTTTGACATTCTCTGTCATTATTTATTCAGATTTATCCATTTGTTCTGTCCTCTCTTTCTCTTGTAGAGTGTTTATTTACCTACAAATAAGTATATGGAACTATTTCTTTAATGTCTGTGTTCCTTTAAGTTTCCTAAGAACAAGGCAGGGACTGTTTGTCTCTATCACTGTTAAATATCCCTCATGCCTGGTACAGAGTAGGTACTTGATAAATATTATTGATCAAATGAATTTATAAAGGGGGAAGTAGACAGGCCTTCTTAGAGTATGTTAAGAGCTAATAATTTTTTTTTCTGGGTTCCTGGTAGATAAGATACTGAGTAGCACAGCTTCAGAATTGTTGCATGTTTTCTAAGTTAAAAGATTGCTTGAAGAGGTTTCTAGGATTCAGTGCAGTTAAGCAATCTATTTTGAGGACATAATAGATGCCAAGCCCTGTGCTGGTTGCTGAGAATATAAAGATGAATCCAACTACATTTTTCTCTTCTAAGAGCTTGTAGTCTGGCAGGAGAGACAAGTGAAACAGTCTCTCTGTGTACATGTGACCAGAAGTTAGTGTACAGTGCTTTAGAAGCTTTGGTTGTCTTTGGTGTCAGGGCAGATGAGAGGTGCCTGGTGCAGCCAGCTCCTTCTGCCAGCATTTTCTGGCTGTGAGCAGCTTTTTCCTTTCATCCCATTATGCCGTACAAATAAAATTATGTTCTCTGTGTGCCATAGTATGGAAAGGTTGGCAAGTACTGCTGTAAACGTGTTAATTTTGTTTCCATTTGATATGGACCCTGAAAGATAAGTAAATTAGGGGCAAAGGGAAGAAACAGAACATTTTAGGCACTACTGAAGCATGGAAGGTCTGCCCAACTGGGTTAGGGGCACTGGAATTTTTCAGTGTGGTTATTGTAGGACAGGGCCAGTGGGAGAAGGCTGTTTTAGAGGGACAGAAGAAATGTCTTGCTTTCCTTTGACTCAGGACAAAGCTCTTATTGTTTAAAGCCCTGTGGGATTAATTTTAGAGTGGTTTAAATGTAGAGTGTTTGGATTTGTCTGTATGAGGCCTTGGCTGCTAGGCAAGGGGCAAGAGAACAGTTTTGGACTAGGTATTTAGCAGTTAATATGTGCTTTGACCTTACAGACTTTGTCTCCCTTTTACCTATTAGTCAAACTGCTCAGTTGCAGATATCAAAAAGCTGACCTAAACTAGCCTAAGCAGAAAATGAGTATCTGTTGAACTCTTAGTGAAGTCCTGAGTATACTAGCTACAGTCATTATTTGAATAAGAAGCCTAAATTATGTCAACAGTATTTTCTGCCTTTCAGCTCTGCCTTTCTCCATGTTGGTTCGTCTCTCATGCAGTCAAAAGCTTCCATCAGTTCCAGGCTTCATGCCACTCTCATAATAACCAACTGAAAGATGAGATCTTTTTACAGATAGCTTCAGCAAAAGCTCTGAAATTGATTTTGGCCAGATTTGGGTCACATACCTCTTCCTTAACCAGTCATTGGTGGTCAGGGAGAATGTAACACCTTTGTGGGCCCACGTTGGGTACCCGTCATTGGAGCCAAAGTGGGGGATGGTTTCCCAAAGGGAAATTGAAGTGCTATTACAAAAATGGACAAAAGGTGCTGGGCAGTATACTTGGAGGTTGCTTCCAGTAATGGCTCATCTCCGGCCAGCCCTCCAGCAAAGAATGATTATAAATTCTGCACAAAATGTTAAAGAAACAAAAAACTATCTGAAGGTTCTGGAGAGCAACCAAAAGCAGGCAGTTACTGGAAAAGACTTCATACCCAGAAGAAAGGAGAGGCACTGGTGAGTCTTCTGTTGTTTTGTGCCTTCTCACATCATTAAGTCCTGTCTCGGAAAGACAATAGCCACCGAGAAGGAGCTCCAAATTCTTTATATAAAAGTTGTTTTACCCAAATGTTTGTCAACTGCTCCATAGAAAAAACAAAGTGAAGTATACAATAGAATGTTTTTCAGCCATAAAAGAATTGAAGTACTGACATATGCTGCAACATCCGAGAACAGTTGAAAACATTATGCTAAATGATAGAAGCCAATCACAAAAGGCTACATGTTATATGATTTTGTTTATGTGAAATGTCTAGAATAGGCAAATCCATACAGACAGAAAGTAGAGTACTGGTTGCCAATGGCTGAGGAGAAGAAGGAATTAGGGAGTGACAGCTAATGGATACAAGGTTTGTTTATTTGTTTATTTGTTTGTTTGTTTTAGTATCATTAATCTACAATTACATGAGGAACATTATGTTTACTATACTTCCCCCATCAACAAGTCCCCCACACAAATCCCATTACAGTCACTGTCCATCAGCATAGTAAGATGCTGTAGAATCACTACTTGTCTTCTCTGTGTTGCACAGCCCTCCCTGTGACCCACACACACATGATACATGCAAATCATTATGCCCCCTTTCTTTTTATCCCCCTTATCCCTCCCTTCCCAGCCATCCTCCCCAGTCCCTTTCCGATTGGTAACTGTTAGTCCATTCTTGGGTCCTGTGATTCTGCTCTTGTTTTTCCCTTCACATTTTTCTTTATTCTTATACTCCACATATGAGTGAAATCATTTGGTACTTGTCTTTCTCCACCTGGCTTATTTCACTGAGCATAATACCCTCTAGCTCCATCCATGTTGTTGCAAATGGTGGGATTTGTTTTCTTCTTATGGCTTAATAATATTCCATTGTGTCTATGTACCATATCTTCTTTATCCATTCATCTAATGACGGGCACTTAGCTTGCTTCCATTTCTTGGCTATTGTTAATAGTGCCACGAAAAACATAGGGGTACATCTGTACCTTTCAAACAGGGCTGCTGCATTCTGAGGGTAAATTCCTAGAAGTGAAATTCCTGGCTCAAATGGTATTTCTATTTTGAGCTTTTTGAGGAGCCTCCATACTGCTTTCCACAATGGTTGAACTAATTTACATCCCCACCAGCAGTGCAGGAGGGTTCCCCTTTCTCCACAGCCTTGCCAAAAATTGTTGTTGTTTGTCTTTTGGATGGGGGTGATCCTTACTGGTGTGAGGTGATATCTCATTGTGGTTTTAATTTGCATTTCTCTGATAATTAGTGATGTGGAGCATCTTTTCACGTGCCTGTTGGCCATCTGAATTTCTTCTTCGGAGAAGTGCCTGTTCAGCTCCTCTGCCTGTTTTTCAATTGGATTATTTACTTTTTGTTTGTTGAGGTGCGTGAGCTCTTTATATATTTTGGATGTCAACCTTTATCGGATCTGTCATGTATGAATATATTCTCCCATTCTGTAGGCTGCCTTTTTGCTCTATTGGTGGTGACCTTTGCTGTACAGAAGCTTTTCAGCTTGTTATAGTCCCACTTGTGTGTTTTTGCTTTTGTTTCCCTTGCCCGGGGAGATATGTTCATGAAGAAGTCACTCATGTTTATGTCCATGAGATTTTTGCCCATGTTTCATGACTTACATTCATGTCTTTGATCCATTTGGAGTTTACTTTTGTGTATGGGGTTAGACAGTGATCCAGTTTCATTCTCTTACATGTTGTAGCTGTCCAGTTTTGCCAACACCAGCTGTTGAAGAGGCTGTCATTTCCCCATTGTATATCCATGGCTCCTTTATCGTATATTAATTGACAATATGTGTTTGGGTTAATGTTTGGAGTCTCTGTTCTGTTCCACTGGTCTGTGGCTCTGTTCTTGTGCCAGTACCAAATTGTCTTGATTACTGTGGCTTTGTAGTAGAGCTTGAAGTTGGGGAGCAAGGTGCCCCCCACTTTATTCTTCCTTCTCAGAATTGCTTTGGCTATTCAGGGTCTTTGGTAGTTCCAAATGAATTTTTTAACTATTTGTTCCAGTTCATTGAAGAATGCTGTTGGTATTTTGATAGGGATTGCATTGAATCAGTAGATTGCCTTAGGC